CCCGCCACAACACCTGACTATTTGTTATTGTTGTTGTAGTTGTCATCATTGTTTGGCAGGCCCAGGCTGGATTTGAACCCGCCAGCTCTGCTGTAAGTGGCTGGCGCATTAGCCGCTTGAGCTACAGGCACGGAGCTGGTCAGAGGTGTTTCTACATCCAGCTCTAACACTTCCACATCTGTGGCCATCATGGGCTATGGCCAACACTGGTACCCTCTTCTTGTGCAAACTTCAAAAAATCCTTCCAGGTGCTCATGAGGTAACCTGGGTTGAACTGTTGGTGGGGAGGAGGAGCAGAATGTACAGTGTGGTTTACTCTAGGACTCTGCCCACATACAGAATTTTGGATTTCCAACAGCCTGGGTAGGCACCCACTACCTCAATCTGAGATGATATGGAAACCATTTGCATTCCCTCCCCCCACTCCCTCTCTTCAGTTAATCAACACCCACCCACAAAGAATCAGTCAGAATCCAATATAGTAATCAACGGGTTTTATTTTCCTAGAACTGAAATCATCTACGGTTCTCAGCGCTAAACTTCCAAAGCTACAGTCAGCAATTTTTCATCAGAGCCCAAGGGAGAGGGGCCAAGGTAAAAGAGAAGAGAGGCATGGAGAGACCATAGGGAAGGGGGTGGGGAGAGGGCACTTATTTCCCTCTGTCCTCTCAGCAGGTTACAAGTCTTATCTGGTGACAACACTGAGGGGATCAGGAGGTTATGTGGGTAGGAAATGACACTGGAAGGAACCCAAAGCCCCAGCTACAAAAAGAAAGTCATCAAGCCCCAAATAGAAGGGGAGCCTCCCAGTGCACCTCAGAAATGGGAGCAACAGTGGGGAAGAAAGGAGGAGAATGGGGAGCACACAAAGGGTTAGGGGTCTTTAAAATTTTTTTTGTAATTTTCTTTTATTAAAAACATTTCCTAAAAAATGTGTCTTTTCCTTTATGTCTGGGTGATACATGACTGAGAGCTGGCCGTGAGCACTGTGGGAAAGGCAAAAGGCAGCTAGGGGTCTCTCCAGGGTGTCTCATCTCTGGCTCCAGTGATCTAAAAGGGGACAGATACTCCCCAACACTCCCATCCAAATGGGTAAAAATCAACCCTTCAGATCTCAGGTCCTTGGACCAAACAACTGGGAAGCCCCAAAATCTTTTGATGATAAACTGCAACTCCCAAAAATCCTGGGGTGGGCAAAAGGAAGAATGTGTGTTGTCAAACATTGAGAATTTATAGAAGGGAGCCCCTCCCCCACGCTGTCCCACTTTCTATGAATCCATGAAGCTGGATAGTAAGTGTAAGAGAGGACACAAGCTTAAGACAATGCCACGCTCCAACAAGACCCCTGCCACACTTGAGGATTTTCTCTCCCAGGACCCAGAAGCCCATCCTGCTATTATGCTACATTCTTTCCACTCCTATCTCTGATCCAAATCCAGGGAGGGGGAGAAAGGTGTTGGGAGGTGGAACAACTGATCTAGGCCCCAGAAGAAGCTAGAAAACAGCTCCAAGCATGAACAATGGCTTTATCTCATCCCAGGGAGCCTGACTCAGATCACAGAGGTGTAGGAACCTGATGATGGGCTTGGAGTGAGGAAAGTGAATGCAAGAGGAGAGGGGATTGGGGTGGGAAAGGGGTTCCCAGTTTGTAGGCCATGGCCAGTTTCCCCAGTAGCACCCAGACAGCAGCAGGAACGGGGTGGGGGCTCCTCTTGAAACATTGGTGGCTACAGGCTGCAGGGGAGGGTTGGAGGAGAGAAGGGTTAATGGTGTGGCCTTGGTCTGGCCTTGCCCCAGCCAGTGCTGGTCTCCTGGGAGAGCCCAGCCTGCCTCCCAAGAGGCTGACCACTGTAGGCCTCTCTCCTCCTCTCCACAAGTGGCTGGGCCCTCCCAGCCCAGCTGCCAAGAGAGCAGGGGGCTCACTCACCTCTCATGATCTCTGACACCCAGGGCCTCAGCATCTTCCTTGGCAGCCTCTTCCTCCTCTTCTTCTTCTTCCTCCTGAGGAGGCCCCCGGCCAGAGCCGGGCTCAGAGGGGGTGCTATTCTTCTCCACCTCCACAGAGAGGGGCCTTTCACCCTCCAAGGTGGCTGCCTCCTTCTCTTCCCCTTCAGGGTCTTCTGCCTCCTTGGGACGTTTAGGGGAGTCCTGGGCAGGATAAGCAGAGGGCTGAAGCTGGAGACAGAGAACACCAGCCACCAATCCCTGCTCTTACTCCTCAGAGGCTACATCCTGGGCTGATACCCACAACCCTTCCCCAGTCTTCTAACTGGCTGAAATGTCTTCTGTGTTCCGTTTGCTCAGTTGGGGACTCCCCAAGACTAGGGTTGGATCTATCTCAGCCTGAGTAGGAGCAGGCCCTGAAGTAGAAGCAGGCCTTCCTCAGACTGGGCACTTCTGAGGCAGAGATTGCCCTTGTGGGAATACAGCCAAGGATGCCCCAGGGGCCCAGGCCCCCGTTGGGCAACAGTTACCTCTAGCAGGTCCCCTGCTCTCCTCTTCAGCGCCCCCTTTTCATTCTTCTCCTTGGCTGGCTCATCGATGACCAGCTTCCCTTCCTCATCACTGCTACCCTCTGCATTCCCCTTCTTATCACCATCGCCCTCTGTGGCTTCAGGCTCAGGTTCGGGCTCTTCCACGCAGCTCTTTTTCTGGGAAGACTGCAGCAGAGACATGAGAGGTTGAGTGGCACCAGTGTCTGCCATGCTGGGCCCCCTCCCCAGACCCCTCCCTCGGCCACTCACTCCTTCCTTTTCCCCACCTCTCCCCCACCCCCACCCAGGTGCCCAGTCTCACAAGTGATTTGAGACCCACCTCTGTCGGATTAGCCCCGGGGTAAACCCACTGGCCGGGCAGGCAGGGCTCTGTGCAGGAGGGGGGAGGGCTGGAGCAGGAGGCAAAACCTCGGGTCAACTTCTCCCAAAGGGAGCTAGGACCCTTTCCCCGCCAACCCCCGCCCCCCACCCTCCCGCCTCGTCCTGCCCGGCTCACGAGCACCTCCTCCTGGAAGCCTTTGTGGAAAGAGTTAAGGCCATGTCCTATACTCACACTGGGCCCAACAGAGGCCTGTTCCCACTTACCGCCTTTATCCTGTTCTTGCCCCCAGGCTGCTAACAGATGGCCCTAACCACCACTACACCACACACCCCAACCCCATCTCCTCTTACAGGAAGCCCGCCTCCCCTCCACCCCATGGCTCCTACCCTGAAAGACCTGGTATTACTGATGACTAAGCATCATCTGTGGGCTTGGGGGTACCAAAGCCCACGGTCACACCTGCTTTCCAAGGGGTTTCTGGGGCAGGCGGCAGCTCACCTGATAGCCAGAAGCCTTGACGGTAGGGTTGTTCTCAATCTCCCATAGTCCCTCGCTGAACCCTTTCCTCTTGTTGGGCTTGCCAAACTTCTCCTTGGACTCCTCGTAAGGGAAGAGGTCTTTGGGGCCCAGGAATGCCCTGGTGAAAGATGGGGAGACTGTGCTCTCAAGCCCCTCACTGCCCCTGAGCTGCACAGCCCAATACAAAAAGGGCACCACCTCTCTTTTCCCAAAGTGGCTCTCCCAGGGCCCTCCCAACCTACAATCCCTTTGGCCTTCACTCACGTCTCGTGAGTCCCGAAAAAAAAGACTTGGTATTTGTTGGCTGTTGATTTCACGGCAGCCTCGGGCATCTCATCAATCTGGGGGTGAGAGAAGTGAACATGAGCTAGAGTCCCAAGATTTCAAGTTTGAGGCAGAGACACTGACCTCTACACCATATTTGTATAAAACCAGAATAAGAGAGACCCAGGAGATTAGAGAGGTGGCTTTTGGATTATTTCTAGCAGTGGAACTTTGTTCAAACAAAATTAGACATGGAAACCCAAAAGAGGCCCAGGAGTGCCTTCCTCTCCTTTGCCAATCAGACCACACAAATACTGCCCACGACATGTCCAAGTCCTGGCCACAAAGCCCCTTGTCTTTGCCATCACTCTAGTCTAACCACTGTCCTCTCTTACCTGGAGTAAAACCACAGCCTATTCTCTACCATGCAGCCAGGCTGAGCCTTGCCAAATGCCCATCCAAGCACCTCAGCCTTTTGCTTCAAACTTGGTTTTTGTTTTTTTGTTTTTTAGACAGAGTCTCACTTTGTTACCCTTGGTAAAATGCCATGGTGTCACAGCTCACAGCAACTTCAAAGTCTTGGGCTCAAGTGATCTTCTTATCTCAGCCCCCCAAATAGTGGGGACTATAGCCGCCTGCAACAACACCTGGCTATTGCAATCCATTGGCCTCAGTCTCCGTGCTAGGATTACAGGTGTCAGCCTTGCTTCAAACTTTCTAATACTTTTACAAAACTCCAGGGTTCACCTGGTCACCTCTCCTCCACAATGGCTAGTTGTGAATCCTAGCTCTGCCACTATTTGTATGATCTTAGGCTACTTACTGAACCTCTCTTTGTCTCAGGGTCCTTATCTATAAAAGGGAGATAGTCACAGTGTTGTGAGGATTTAACAACCCTAACTTGGCAGGCATCCTAGGCTATCATCAACCTATTGCAGGATGCTACCCTTTCTGTTCCAACCATGTTATTCTTTTAGCTTCTCATATTAAATACTGATCAATGGTCAGGCGCAGTGGCTCACACCTGTAATCCTAGCACTCTGAAAGGCCGAGGTGGGTGAATCGCCTAAACTCACAAGTTTGAGACCAGCCTGAGCTAGAGCAAGACTCCTTTCTAAAAACAACCGGGTATTTGGGGGGCTCTTGTAGTCCCAGCTACTTGGGAGGCTGAGCCAAGAGAATCAATTGAGCCCAAGAGTCTGAGCTTGCTGTGAGCTAGGACACCACAGCACTCCACTGGGGGTGGCAAAGTGAGACTCTGTCTCCAAAAGAAAAAAAAATTCCTGATCATCCTTCCACCTTGGCTCCATCATCACTTCTTCCAGAACGTTTCCCCATCACTCCTGACACATGGGCTCTCCTTGGGTAACTCTCCTAACGCTTCCTCATAGTGCTTTGTAAAATCTCATTGTCACACTGATTAATATTACTATGTCACTAATGTGTATGTGGACTATCTGAACTAGACCTGTCCTGAGGTTAGAGATCAGGACTGTTTTTATCTCTGCACAGTGCCCAGCATACAGTAGGTGCACAGTAAATACTTGTTGAAGGAATCTATGACACAGATAAAAGGAAAATGCTCTTTAGCTGGGCATGGTGGCCTTCACCTTAAGTCCCAGATACTTGGGAGGCTGAGATAGGAGGCTCACTTGAGCCCAGGAGTTCAAGGTTCAAAGTTACAATGAGCTAGTACCAGCCTGAACAACAAAATGATCTCTGTTCCTAAAGGTGGGGTGAGGGGGGTGGAAAGAGAGAAAGACTGCTGTGGCTTAAGTGGAGGGTGAGGTCAAAGGGCTATAATTCCGGGGAACACTGAAAAGCACCTTAGTCAAAAGTTCTTTTACAGATGGGAAAACTGAGCCCAGAGAAGCAGGGATCTGCCCAGAATAATAGAGTGGTTCGGCGGGGCCTCAGTGCCCGGAATGACCCCCTGGCTGCACACGTGCCGGGCAGGGTTGAGGTCAGGGAACGCGGCAGCAGGGGCCCAGCCAGCCTCGGCAGGCGGGCGGAGACTACAACTCCCGGCGACGCTCGCAGCAGGCCGGCAGTCTGGCTCCCGCGGACCAAGGCCAGGTGGCCATGTTGACGGGGCCCCAGGCGCACAGGAGATAGAGACAAGCCGAGGCAGCGACTAACACAGAGACAGGGACAGAGATTTGACTGGGGACCCGAGGAGACGGGAAGGCTGGGGGATGGGAATGAGCCGAGACACGCCCAAGGGAGGGTATGGGGCTTGGGCAGGAATCTCAGGGGCATCTTCCCAGATTTGGGCGTCTTCAGGCTGCTGGGCACCTCCTCCCTTGCCCAGTGGCCTCTGGGGACAGAGGTCCAGCCCTTCCCCCCAGGAAGAGCCAGCACAAACTGGGCCCTCCCCACAACCAGGAGACTCTGGGGTGTGAGCAGGGGTGGAAAGGCACGCGGTTCCCCCCCAAACATGATCTCCATTGCCATAACAACCCAACCCCGCCCGCGGGGCCACTCAGCAACTAGGAATGCGGCTGCCCCTCCCCCCCTTCTCTCTGGATTGGGGAGGAGGGTACACTAACACATACCCCACGCCCATGCTGGAGTCTGGCACCTGAGTCCCTGCCTGTGCTGGAAATCACAGCTAGAGGATTGGTATTGCAGGGTTCGGGAGGGGGAATCCATCTCAAGAAGCCAAACCTGGGACGGGGGTAAGGGCAGAGGAGCCAGTAGACAGCCAGGACACCTGGGTCGGGTTACCAGCTAGCTCCTCACCCTCCTCTCTAAGTGGGAGGCAGAAAACAGAATGAGGGCCTCCAGGGCTTAGAGATCCCAGGAGACAGGCATAGGACAATAATAGCAAAAGCCTCTCCTGGCTTTTCTTCTCAGTGATCTGTGTGCACCTAGAACCAGAGGTGGGGGTAGGGACCCAAGGGTCTAAGGCTGGAATGCAGCTGGAAACTTTGATCTCTGCATTTAGAGTGCCCACATCTGAGCTAGGCCATTAATATGCTCATAGTAAATGTGTTATAAAAGAGGAGAAACTGAGGCTGGGGGGGGGAAGGTAGATGAAGAGTCAGAAATGAGGAAACATGAGGTTCTCTACAGGATCACAAGCTGCAAAGCGGCTACCTGTCTCCGGCCAAGCAAACTTAGGGACAAATAGCTGAATGGTGTGGCAGGGAACCCAGGAGGCCACCAGCTAGCTGCCCAGCCCCAGGGGTGTGGGAGAAACAAAGAACGGATGGGATTAAAAATAGAAAGAGACACACCAGATACAGCCCTGCTGAATTCTAGAGACATAAGAGTAGGTCTAGACTAGGGAGAGGACAGGGGCTTGGGCAGATGGGCATCTGCCCCAAAAGGATCATTACATCCCCCCATATCAGTATCTGTCGGGGAAGGACCAGAAGGAGTGTGCTCTTCTCACTTAATGGAATTCCCAAACCCTCAACTCAAAAAGTAGAAAAATCCTTTCCTTCTGTAGTGGTACCTCAATCCCTTAAGTTACAAAGGATGTCTTTTCTTGCATTTGGGAGTGAAAGGCAGTTCTTCCTTGAGGTAGAGGATGTGAGGTCTCAAGAGAGCCCTGTCCCCCAATATAGATAGTTGTCCCCCACGCACCCTCTATATCCAGGCTGTGATTCAGAACAAATGAGTCAAGACTAAGTGGGTCAGGGTGGAGCCAGATAGTGCTGAGGACCCCACAGTATCATCCCCTCCACTAGACAACAAAGGAGAGGACTCTGCTACCTCTAAGCCATTCCTGGGATCCAGGCAAGTTACTTCTCCAGTCTGGGCCCATCCAGCCCCACCTTTACCCCTCAGAATCTGCCCAATCCCATCAGACAGGCCTGAGCACACAACAGCCCATCCTCCCTAGCCCATGGATATCCTCCAAGGTCTGAAAAGAAATCTGAGTTTTCAAGAGGGAAAGAGGACAAACAACTCTCCCCCAAACAACATCGGACTAAAAACAGGCCCCAGAATCACCTACCCAGCACTTAGGAAAGCTAAGCAGTGACTGGCTGCCAGCCAGGGTTCTGACCACCACACCCAGGGCCGAGGCCCAACCTGACCCAGGAACCGGAAAATCTGGGGCAGGAGACAGTTGGGGCCAGGAAAGTGTGGCAAGCCCAAGAGGCAGAAAAGAGAAGGTGCTGGGGGAGGGGGCATGGAGAGGAAAGACAGGGAGGTCCTCAGGTTTTCTGGGATTGTGAAACAGGAAGCAGAGAAAGGAAGAAGGAACCTGAGGGAAAAAAATCCCTGAAATCTTGGAGGTTAACTGTTAAGTGCTTGGAGATCCCCCAGGAAGCCAGGCAGGAGGAAGAGGGAAGAAGAAGGTTAAGATGGACTCACACTGTCCTTCCAGGCAGGTCCTGCCTATCGCGTGGTGACTGTCTAGGCCCTTTCAGTCTCACCCTGGATCACCCATCTTCCCCAGAAGCAGCAGGGACTAAGGAAGGAAAGGTCCACACAGTGGCCTTCATTTTTTTTTTGGAGACAGAGTCTCACTTTGTCATGCTGGGTAGAGTGCCATGGTGTCATAGCTCACAGCAACCTCAAACTTTCCGGCTCAAGCAATCCTCTTGCCTCAGTCTCCCAAGTAGCTGGGACTACAGGTGCCTGTCACAAAGCCCAGCTATCTTTAGAGACAGGGTCTCTTGCTCAGGCTGGTCTCCAACTCCTGAGCTTAGGTGATCCACCTGCCTCAGCCTCCCAAAGTGCTAAGATTACTGGAGTGAACAACCTCATCTGGCCCTTGAGTAGCCTTCATTATGGCTGAAGATTCTAGCTGTCCAGTGGATAGGGTGGTAAGATTCCTACTCCTCCTCCATCTCAGAGGGGCTGGGCACTGCCACTAAGACAGGGTACAAGAAAGGGTAAAGAGACTCAGATCTGTCTGTTCTTTGAGGATCAGGGGGAATGTGTCTGGGAAATAACAGCTTTGGGTATAACCTCCCCTCAATTGTCATAATCAAGAGCCACAGCCAGGCAAAGTGTGAGGCTGTATCTCTCTAAGATCCAGTCTGATCTTTCTACCCCAATTCTCACTTTATCTAAGAGGTACAGGACTCGACAGAGGAAGGAACTCTGCCTCCTCTATCCTACCCTTCTGGAGCCGAGGGTAAAAAGAAATGGGTGGCAGCCCTGCCATCACTCCAAGGCCAGCAGAAACCTGAGAGACTTCCTCAAAGGGGCCAGTGGCCCACAGGACCCACACGAGTCCCTTCTGTTTATCCCTACCCGCCTCAACCTAATCCAGAAAGGGTTCCCCTGGCAGTCTACATTATAGCTAACACCCCCAGGGCTTAGCCAAGCCTCTGGACTTTGTCCCACCCCCAGGAGGTAGGAACAGTAGAGTCCTGGGCTAAGTTCTTGCCCTCCCCACTAGGGCCTCGGCTTCTGGGCCAAGAAGCCAGTTGGATCAAAGGGTGCAGGGTAAAGTACAGGATGGTTCACACACCACACACATACATGCACACACAAGGCTATCTGGGGCTACTGCCTCACACAGCCCCTCCCTGCCCCCTTAGGAGGCCCTGGAAGCTGGAGAGGCCCTCCCATTCCAGGGGCCAGGCCTTATTTGATCCACTCTAAAGTTTCAAGGAACAAGGAGCTCAAGGAATCTGGGATAACTGCACACTTCTCAGGAGAAGGGTACAGAGTGAGGAAGGGTCTCCTGGGCTTTTCAGAGTGGCTCCAAAGTCGGCCTGACGACTAAATGAGTCTGGAACAGTTTCCTAAGCTCAGACACACTCTGAGCAGAGCAACTCAAAGCCATAAGGCAAGTCCTTCTGCACTTGGTCCCTTCCCCCAACCTGTTTCTGCCCTTGGATTTCACTCTACAGGAGTCCTACACTCTAGGGAACTAAGATATGCCCTTACCCAATACGAAAAGTCAAATTTATTTTAAAATCCTCGGATGCACTGACACTTTCCCACCTCAGTGACCCCCCCCCTTTCCTCCAGCAACCAGTAACCTCCCATCCTCCTTAACCTCTTCTCAGTTCTTAAGGGAAATATGATGAATATCCCAGGCTTGGCTTTTGGATCCCCCCACACTCACACCTGGCCAGGTACTGGAGGTGAGGGAACTTACACTGGCCGGCTGAATCAGTCACATGGCACATATGCTCACATCTAGGGCGTGAGGGGACTCAGACTCCCCCTATCCCTAATAAGAGGCAGCCTGGACTGGACTTCGCAACCCCACAATGAGTCCCTGCCACCTTCAGTCCCAAATTTAAACTGGCAGCATCTGGAGGCCTGTATTTGTGGCGCCAGGGGCTGATAAATTATGGCGAATAATTTCCAAGCCAGGTAGACACCCTTTAAGGCGGCCGCCAACATTCCTCGACCCTCACAACTTCAGACCTCTTATGGTTGCCTCAAACCAAAGTTTTCTGGAAGCAAACTCCGCCTCCACCTATCCCTCTCTGTGCTGAGATCCTTAACCATTTATCCAATAAGAGTTTGAACGGGGGGCGACAATGAAGAAATTGGGGGTTTCTAAGGGATCCCGGAGGAGGGTGGCGTGGGAGGAATAACACCACCCGCCCAAACACAGGCTGCGTGCCTGAAGCCGCGGGGAGTGTGGGGGCTGGGGGCGGAACTGAGCACGCGGAGCCAAGGGCCGGGAAGTGACCCGCACCCTCGGATCCCCACGCCGCGCACACGCCTCTACGCGCGGACGCCGTACCCACCAGGTGTCGGTCCCCCCACCCCTCCTGCCTCCACCATTATATAACCTACCAGTGGGTTACAAGGCAACAGGGAAAGCGTCGGAGAGCCGGATGCCCCCTGCCCCCCCCACCAGCTCCGCGCGGAGCGCTCGTGCCCTCCCGGGTGTTATGCAATCCGAGCCCGCGGGCGGATAGAGGCGCGGGCCGCGCTGCTCACCCGGGCCGGCCAGTGTGGGTAGCCTTTCATCTTGGCGAACACCAGGTCCCCGCATTTGTACTCCTTCTGCCGGTTGGATCGCGACATGGCGGGGCTCCGGGCACCCCGGGCTCCGCGCCGGGCCGGGAAGCGCGAGCCCAAGTTTGCGCGTGCGGCGGTGGCGGCGCCGCTCCGCTCCGGCCCTCGCGCGGCCCCCGCCTCGATGGTGGCCCCGGGCCCGAGCTCCCGCGCGGCCACTGCGTCTCCGCCCGCGCGCCGCACGGACGGGGCGGGCGCGGATCGGGCAAAGCTCCGGCGCGGAGGGTGCGCGCTCGTGCAGTTGTTTGTGTTTGAAATTCAATTGCTCCCTCCTCCGTGCGAGGCCTCTTCCTCCACCCCCCGCCCGGTCCCT